AGGTGAGACAGTTGATTGGCTTGATCTGTTTGGGAGGCAACTAGGCAGTGGGACCGAGTCCTGTGCTCATTGCATGAGTTGGCTGTTTGAAACCTGGAGCTTATTCAGGGTTGCTTGGCTCAGTCTGGGAGGAGGGGACTGGACCTGCCTGGACTGAGTCTACCAGGTTGATGGCAGTTCTTGGGGGAGGCTTTGCCCTGAAGGAGATGGGAATGGGGGATGGGCTGGGGGTAAGGGGAGGGGGTGGGAGAGGGAGAACAGGGGAACCCGTGGCTGATATGCAGTATTTACAATACTGAATGGTATTGTAAAATAAAAGGAAAAAAAATAAACAAATCTTAAAAAAAAACACAACAAAAATGTTAACCTTTAAGTTCAATTTTCTTTTCTTTACAGCTTGCTGTTTCCTCTGGTCCTATTTTATATTTTAATGAATGAATGAATGAATGAATGATGTGTATTTCTTGTGTGGGGGTGGTATGAGTGCCATGGTGCCTATGAGGACAGAGGCTTGCTCTTGTGGGATCCTAGATCAAGCCCAGGTCATCAGGCTATGAGCAACACACTGACCTTCTGAACTATCTTGCTGGCTTCCATCTTAAAAAAAATTATATTCTTTCTTTTTTTTTAGATTATAATATAATTACATCATTTCCCCCTCCCTTTCCCTCCTCCAAACCCTCCCATAAACCTCTCCATGGCCTCTTTTTTCATTAACTGCTTATACACACACACACACACACACACACACACACACACACACACACACACACACACGTATATATGTGTACACATACATGTATGAATTTATGTATCTACATATATATTCCTAAATATGCAAGAACAATCTGCTTAGTTTATGATGTTACTTTTCAGGGCTCCTCATTTGGTACTGGATAACCAATTGGTGCGCTCTTCCCTAGAGAAGACTATTTTTGACACACTCTGCATTCCTTAGTTGCCTGTAGTTCTCCGCGTAGAGCTGAAGCCTCCTGGGCTCCTCCCACCCCTCCCACTCTGGCATGTCTATTGTTGTCCTTGCTCAGCTCATGTTTATGCAGTCCTGTTGGTGAGACTTTATGGGTACAGTTTCTGAGATTCCTAGCAGACTCCAGGT